AGAAACAAAATGAAGATAGAGAGAAACAAAATGAAGATAGAGAGAAACAAAATGAAGATAGAGAAACAATGGAGAGAAAACAGGGGAGGGATGAAAAATAACTACAAAGAGGAAGCATAAGAAAAAGTTATGTACGCAGGAAAACAAATTTCGTGCGAGAGATAGTGAATTTAGCACATGTATATGCTACGAGTATATTCAGTGTAGTCGACTAGTATACCACATCCCCTGAGAAGTTTATAAGTAACGTAATGATTTCTAACCAATGAAGTACACTACGATGGAAAGCATTCCGTTCAATAGTTGGCCGTCGCATTTGAAAAACTGCTACAACTTTCAAGAAATGTGGAAATTTAAAGGAAATTGTTCAATATACCAAGAAACACAATCGCTAGGACGATAGTACACACAATCTTGCTTGCTAAACAGATATTCAGAAGTAGACCAATTTGGAAAGTGTAGTATCATCATCTATAAAGGAGATTCTTAACATACATTTCGGTGGCTGTTTATTCGATATAGCGGTTGAATGGCTCATAAAAAAGACATTTGGGGCTTCAGGGAACGTTTAAGCCTTGTATCATAAATGAACTTGCAATTGTGAGTGAAAATATATCTCGTGTTCCTACTCTCATCTGCAGACCAACGTCGTTATTATTTAATTATTTATTATTATATAAAACTATTAATTACCTCGCGAGATGAATGCAAAAAACGAGGCTAATTAAAAGTTAGAATTGTAAGTTTCAAGCCTTAAAACTAATTTCCATGTCTAATGATTATCGAGTGTATTACTTATCTTTCAATTCTAACAAAATACGTACTACCTACCATTTCCAGTCAATTTACGGAATATATTTATCGATAGAACAATTGGGTGAGATCACATCACAAAGACCAGGCCAAAAAGAAATTCTGAACACATGCAATCAAGTTTTCAGTAGAGGAAGGAAGTGGCTGCTGCAGGAGAGTGTGATGACAAAAATAATGCTAAATCACAACTGACTTTTCATATATATCCAAAGCATCAGCACGTTTCGAATGCCAGTTTCAGATAATAAAATATTTGTTTCGGTATTTTGATAAAAAATGTTTAGATTATTTCGTGTTTTCAGGTGCGTTAACTACTATGGTAATTAATAGTTACGGATTTCAAGGACTTCAAATATCGCCAAAAATAATGAATAAAATGCTTTAAAATTATTATGAAATGTCCTAAAAAAAGAAAAATGACAAAAAATTGGATCTAAACAAGATCACATGAACAACTCAACCTGTTGGATATAATAGAGGTTATTGATGTTGCATGTTCAAAGGTTACTGATGTAATAAAGGCTTAAAAAATGGGTCATTTGTTTTTGTCATAAAATAAAATTAATACATATACTAAAAAGCTTTGTTCTAAAGGGAAAATAAAAAAATGACATTTTATTGAAATCCACTCCATAGACTTGTGACGGGTGGTCTGATGTTCTTGCCCAACTGGATAACGAGATCCCGCGCCAACCTATAGGTCAGCTTCCAGGGCTTTCCCCATCGAGGTATCTCCCACCAGCAGGACACCACCCTAGCTCTTAATCCCCCGACGTGTTTCCCATGAGTGATAGTGTAGTGCATGTTAAGTTGTGGGTCGCATGTGTCAGTAATGGATGATAGAGCAAGGTAAGGGGAAAGCAGGACCAATAGAAATTATAAATATCAATTATCCTAATTGAGAAACATTTTACAGCACACATTAATTTAAAAGTTCTGAACACGCAATATCAAAAAGTACCAAGAGAATTCCGATAGTTTTTACAAGGCGTACGTGGGGGGTTTAGAAGTATATTCGTCATTCTCTTTAATTCACTCAGTCACACATTCTCAACAGCATTTCGAAATTATTTGTATCAATTCGTACAATTTTTATTAATGATAGCGGAATACAATCAGTATCTTGTGAAAATTATTTCTAACCTTCCCATCATGGAAATACAAAATCCAGCCAGGTGATACTACTACTCAGCTGACCGGCGTAAGAATATTTATCGGAGAGCGATGCGGTCTTCGGCGACGCTCATTTGTTGTATAAGCAGTCATTAAAATCGTTTTGCTCTGTAATCAAGTGGCGCACTCGACATAATTGGTCAGGAGCGATATTAAAACGTTGCCTGTATAAATGGTGCTGGTAACCAAGCGATGGAGGAGAGTCAAGGAACGAGAGTAGGTGCCACGCTTGTCTCTACTACCGCGCGGGATACATTTTTACTCCTTCAGTTTTACCCTTTCGAACACAGAGCAATATCTTTGGCGACATTCCCGTAAAAGGTGTCCGCCAGGTTCTTATTTTCTTTGAAACTTGTTCGCGGTTCTCCTCACCCTAAAGATCTGAGCCCATAATCCTGCTCGAGTACGGTCATGTACTCCGCAAGGTAGCAATGACGCGATCTCGTCCAGATTGCCTTCGCCCAAGCAACGATGAGCAAAGATTTGCGCGGGGAGTGGGTTCGCGGTCGCCGTGTCGAAAACAAAGCGCGCTAAACCCAGACGGGCAACGCAGAGCACTGTTGGTCCCCTAAGAATAAAAACACGGACGAATAAAGCAGCCATGAATTCCGTAAATATTCAGGCCTATTTCAATAACTTTGCTAACGCCGCTAATATGTGTTGGGCGGGGCGGACGTCCCCCAGAGCTCTTCCCGCAAAAAAGACGACCGCGTGCGTGCAAAACAGAGCAGAGAAGTGTTGCAGGTTCGCGACGCGGCGACGCCAAGGTCGCGTGTGCACCGCGAGTTTCGTCTCTACATACGCCGGAGCTTGTACAAGCCTCCATATACTAGAACGTTCGTCGCGAAGCGCATTACTCTCCATTGCGCGGAGTTTGCAGTTTGCAAGTCAGTCGTTGGAAGCTGTCCCACGAAAACATGAACAGCATTAGAAAGGAGAAATTACTTTTTTGTATAGCAATATAAACGACCTTTTCTGATGCAAAAAATCGTTCATAAAAGGGCATTTTACGGCACAAATGATGACTTATCAGCATTTTACGACACAAATGAGAGAGAATCACTGGGAGGAAAAGGTATACGGACCGTTCTCTCTTAGATGTCAAATACCGGAGACGGCCCAAGAAATCGTTTCGCAAACATTACGTTTGATTCTCTAATAAATTTATAATGCGGTTCCACAAAAAATGCAGCACGCTTCTATTGTTATTTTATTGCATTCGTACAAATTTGAAAACTTGCTCCTAACGTCGCTCGTTTTCAAATCGCATGCATGCAATAATAAACTAACTCCTAGTGGTCTTTAATGAAGTCATATGTGACAAGTGGTCTATATTTTCTAAAATGTTTTAGCAGAAACTGAACTTCTATAATACTGCTTTAACTTACAATATCTTTCACGTTGTATAACATGCGCGAGGCCGCCGGGAATATGTTGAAATAGACCAAAGGCACTCTTTTCGAGCATTTCACAACTTTTCTTGGAAAGCCACTTGGAGTTGGGCCACAATGTGGTGGAATTCCGAGAGAACCTATTCTGCTACGAGAGATGTCTGTTTCGCCGATGCCGAAGAAAATTCCGGGATGTGAGAGCCTGAGCAATGTGCAAGAGGAAATTCAAAGGAATGCTCCGAGAGAGACAAATCTAGAAACTCGATGTTCCGGTATTATTATATTAAGTCAGAAACTAAACCAACTACACATGAAATAAAAATTATTCAATGTTTTTCACAGTAAAGCTCCTTCACTTTTCTTCATGTCAAGAATTTCTCTCTTTTTTTAATGCTTTTCAAAATAATTTGTTTCCTGTGGATAATTTGAAGTTTACCTATTGCAATACAAATATATTTGACCTTTGGAGCTCTTTACCATTCAAACCAGCGTCACAGTACGCAGTACGTAAGTCTGGATCTCTCAATATTCCATCAGGCTCAATCTTGTGCGCGTGTTTGACCAATGGTTTAAAGAGGTCCACGGCACATCCAGATCGATTGGGAACACCGATTTTGGAGAAAATCGGCTGAACGGTTTAGTCTATAACCTTCACATATGAGCATTCGAAATGAGTCGCAACAGAATTCGCAGAAATGGGCGCGTATATAATTTTTTTTTCAAGTAAATTTAGTGAATTACAACTCGTGTAGAGCCGAAGTGGTAGCGGGAGAGGAAGGGGACTACTCTGATTCGGCGCAGCCAAGTCCAATCTCACCGACGCAGGCGCACTGCTTCGCTTATTTTCCTGGAAGCGATTTCAATTTCATATTGGGCGGAGCGATAACAACGCAAGGGCTGCTCTTCATTTCGGTCGCGCCGCCCGGCGTGCGGCAGCCGAGGCCGCTGGCGGAGCGCGAGGAAGCCTTCCGAGAACCTGCATGGCGGATACAACAGGCGAGGGGAATCCAAGGAACGGCGAATGCGCAGGAGGCTCTCGTCAGGAAAGCAACACAAAATGGGCGGCCCCCCAGCGGGCGAGCGGATATGGCTGTATGTGACACCCGATGAATGGAAGAGAGCAATGCGAGCACAAGGGACAATTGAAGGCAAACTCTTCGATATCTAAAGAGCTTGAGAGACTGCGTGATGACAGGCGTATCCGGTGTTCTTGTCGTGAGCTTCAACTCGTGAATGCGCATCCAACGAAGGTCGGCGGTGTCATCGGCGTGAATGGCGAGGTAACATTCGAACACAAACAACTGATTGATTCCGGTCACAACTATGGTCATTAACACCGTTAGTGTAGAGAAAGTTTTACATTAAACCAGAACATTCGAGAACTATTGAATTATAATTCAAACACTCATTCTTTTTAAGCGTAAAAAAAAAATCAGGCCAATTATGTTCATCTTTATATTGATATTACCAAGAATTAATTTCTTTGCGATTTTGTCCTGAGATGCACTACAGAGATTTTGCGTGATTTTCGAATTCCATTGCAGAATATAACTTGGGAAAGAAAAAAATCTTCCCAAACACAAAGTGCTGTGGCTGTTGATACTCTTTAAGCACTGTGCTTCCGATTCCACTCACCGTAAAAATAAGTTTCTGAGCGTTACAGACCAGACCCCGTGGGCAAACTGCTGTGAAGCAAAGAAGCGTTTTTCAGAACAAAGGCAAATTTTTGTTCCTCTCACTGTGCATAACACAACGTATTATTACTCCCAAGATTCTACATGCTCCGATTATTGCCACTTTCTGATTTATCGAAAGTAATTGTAATTTCGAAGAACCACGGTAATCCGAACTAATTGGGAGTGTGGTCTGCTCGGATTTGGAAATGCTCGGATTATCCGTACTGAACATACACAAATGCATCTATAGGATTACCATACAATGCAACAGTGTAGTATGAGAAAATGGCAATGTAGCATAGCGATCGCATCACATTACATCAAGCAGATTCAGTTCCTAACGGCAAAAGATTACCGATTTTCCAAGTTACACTAAGTGAAAATTACTACGACAAACATGTGACGTACACTGTAGTTACCAGAGCAATAAACGTTTCATTTCGACAACTTGTGTTTCAATAATTAATTGTTCAGTCCTACAATAGTTCTAAAATACTTTCTTTACACTAAAAACAAGCATTTCATTTTTTCTCCACCACGAATTTTGTTCGGGTTAGGGAGGATCTACTTTAAATGGTTTCCAATAGGATGTTTTCTGTTCTAGCTTAAATACGTGAGATACGTATTAATGATCGGCAAGTAATAGCTTTCAATACGGAGACAACTACATTTCAATGGTCGTATGAAATTTCACTGATAAGCGATTATGCTTCCAGTTATTCCCGGAATTCGTTTCCGGGCCATTGTTTTTATTAGATCCAAATTACCATTACATATTGCCAGGGGCGCACCCAGGCTTTCCCCTGGGGAATACCATTTCGGGCGACTTCCTTTTATCTTACTAAGAATGTTTACTTATGCTGAATATAAAATGTACTTTTATTTTTGACATATAATTAATATTTCAAAAATTTACAATTGATATATTGAATAACTTTCATTTGTACAGAAACTTGGTGAAAGCTATTGTTCGAATAATATTTCTGTCTACTTGGCTGTCGGCTGACTTGAGAGAGAGGTCACGTAACCCAATCAGAAACTTCATTTTGTAATGTCTCTGCAGAGTTGCCGACGCTTATTAACAAAATTAAAACTTACAGCGCGTGAACTACTGGAAATTGAAGAGCGCCATTACTTGTTGCTTTATGAGTTTAGCTTTTAAAATGAATTTGTATTTCGTGTATTCCCTTTTTAAAAAGCGTCTCGTAGTAAGGGCGTTGCCTTTTATATTTATAGGGTTAGAGAACAAAAACAAATATTAATCGTCGAAAATCACTTTGTTTTTCAAAATATTCCCCATGAAGATCTATACACTTTTGCATGCGTTTGAACCAATTGCCGAAACACTTTTGCCACTCTGATGGAGGTATCTCCAAAACATGCATTCGGAATGCAGCAACCGCTTCTTCAGGTGTCAAAAAACGTTGGCCTCTCAGTTTGTTTTTTTACGTACGGGAATAAAGGGAAGTCATTCCGTGCCAAGTCAGGACTATATGGCGGATGACCCATCAAATCGATGTGTTGGGTGCTCAAAAATGCAGTTGTTTGAGCCGATGTGTTGTCGCTCGCATTGTCGTGGTGAAGAGTGATCCGTCTTCGGCGGTTGGTTTTCCTGATTTCTTGGAAGACAGCTGGCAAACAAATCGTTGTGTACCATCCAGAATTAACAGTTCTGCGTTGTTCTAGTGGTACGGTTGTGACCTGTCCAGTTTTTTCGAAAAAACAGGCGACCATCTGTCTGGAAGTGCTTCGTGCGCGAACAACTTTTGTTGGATTTTGCTCATCTTGAAACGCCCATACAGTCGACATCTGTTTATTTTCGGCTCATGCGCGTAAATCCACGATCCATCACCAGTCACGATGTCATAGACATGTTTCGAAGCACCGCGAAATTTTTTTGAGCATTTCTTTCGACCAATCGACACGAGCCTTTGTTTCAGCGATTGACAAATTGTGAGATCCAACGCGAACAATTTTTTTTGACAGTCAAATGTTCATGCAATATTGAATGTATGCTGGTCCCAC